CTAAAAAGTAACTTACATTGTTTATTAGCACTTCATTTCATACGCTACAGCATTAAACAAATTTACGAACTAATCTGTTTGTTCTTTGTGAATGTTCAAAGTTGGGCGACTCAATCTAGCCATTAACGCCTTTCACTCGAAATAGATTACTATCTACTCAGGCGACACGCAGTGCGACCTATTTACTCTCAATCCATTCTAGCTACCAAGATACCCGTTTTTATAGCTTAATGGTGGGAAGAAGCTGAAAAGTAAATGAGTGCAATACATACATAATTATGAACCGTTGCATAGTTACTGGTTGCAAGGTCGAAGGAATGAAGCTTGAATTGCGCGTTATGATTGTCCCTGGCGTTTGGCAAACAGGATAAATGCAATTACACGAGGAAGCAAAAAAAATGAAAAAAGGTGTTAAAGGGGTGGAGGAGGGTGAAAAGAGACGAATCAGGAAACGGAAGAAATAGGATTACGCGGAGTGCCCATTTGAGTGAGGACGCGGTCCAGCCACTGAAGGGGGCCGTTGAGGTGAATCTCAACCCAACAAGGCGTAGAGGTGACGTCCTGGCGATGGTACTCGGCACCCCAACCTTTCACAAAGCTCATCCTAATGGTACACATTTTTGTCAACTCATAGACCGCCTCAAAACCGTGACTCACTGTACGACGCAGCAGTTGGGCAAACTCCTGGTTCGAAAAAATCTTCAGTGAACAGCCCGGCGGAATTTTGCACACAGTAGTCAAATTGAAATTGTGTCGGTGGTTGCAATTGCGAGACTGCACAAAGATACTGCTGTCCGAAAGGCATTCTGCGAATACCTCTCCACCAACATAGTAGAGATGAACGCCTTAAACCAGACAAAGTTCAACGTAAATGCGACAACGCCGGTACATCCTTTCACATAAAAATATAAATTAGAAGTACAAACCTTTATTTGGGTCAAAATTACCGTCAACTATTTGTAGAAAGTGAAAAATGATTTTACAACAGAGGAAGATTAATTTCCTGCCTTCCAGTTCAAAAGAAGAAAAAACAGATTAAAGTGGGGAAAAAATGAATACAGCTGATGCACCAGAGCGCGACAGTAAGAGACAACTACCAGCAACCAAACGATTTAAAACCAAATAAACAAAACAAGTGACCGATTACGGTGGTCGCCAAATAACCACCGTTCTTGCACGTAGTGCCGAATCGTCTAGCACGCAGGCACATATTCAAACGTTGGTAGTAGAGGTGCATACCAAATAGATTGAGGGCCAGTGATGAGTGGAATATTCGGTTGGCAGAAATAATAAAGACAATTTTTGGATTTCATAAATACGTAGAGCATATTTATTTATTCGAAACCATAAGTGCTAAACGCAATTTCCAGCACATCAAGACAGAAATAACAGTTGACAGAACCCATAACTTACACCACCCGCCCATAAGGCAAACCAAAAATATGGGTCTTTTAATCAAAAATGAAGCACAGAATAAGAGTATACAAATGCAAAATTCATTGGGAAGTAGGCTAAAGAAAACGAGTGTTTGCATTTTTTAGTTGCAGTTTGAAGCAACAAATTTCAATTGTGCTATTCAGTGCTTATTCAGTGAGAACAAGGAACTCACCCTTGCCAATATGTCGGCGAGTGTTTTCAATGGTAGAGTTACGGTTTACATTTGAGAGAAGACCGAGGCAGAAGCGGTCCGAGTTGTTTGAGGGGTCTGTAAAACCATCGATTACAATGCTCGGTTGCGAGGCGAAAAAGGCTTCTCCAACACGAGTGTTTAGTTCGTAGTAGACTATCGAGCACCAGTACTTTGGCTCCTGGTAGTTTACTGGATGCGTGTCTAGTGGATAATGAAAGACAAGAAAAGTATCGTGCGCGCAAACATAACACACAATGCTATTCTTTGAATATTATTGTTAAGGTGCAGGGCTATACCACCTAATCATTTATTATTGCTGAGCGTCTTGTATAGACAGCTTTGCTTTACCCTCTAATATAGACTACCTCAGCCAACTAATTGTGGAGCATTCCATCTACGTTTTCTTATTACAGCTTAGTTCGAGCGATTCTTGAAAAAGAAAAGACTTAAAGCAGCACATGGAAGTAAGAAGTGTAACCAAATGTGCCTCCAAATGCGGCGCATGGTGATGGCTTACCCGAGGTTGGAGGAACGGAGGTTGGGGGAGAGGCACCGCTGCTGACAGGAGTAGCGGGAGGGAGTGGTGAAGTCTGGGTAAAGCCTTGGGGATAGGTGACGTTATAAGGCATTGCGGTTTCACTTGGCGTCAACTGACCATAAGACGATGCCATCAAGAGTGGGGCAGCTTGGAGAGGCATTATACTCGTTCTTATTGAATCTGTTGAAGGTCCCGCAGTCACCGAACCCATGGAAGGATATTCGCTGTGCCTCGGAACCAAAACGGGTGGCAGCACTGAAGGAGAAGCAAAAGAAGCAAGTCAGACAAAAAATACCACAATAATGGATCCGGTAAAGCAGAGATATAAATAATAATCAAATTCCAAGTTAATATATACCAATGACTTCATCAAAATGTGGCTGTGAAGAGATCCCAGTGTGATAAAAAACATAACATCCATAAGTACCTGGACTTTCAACGCGTTTGTAATGGTATGGGTTTATGCATACTTCGTTCTCTTTAGCAGAAAAAGGGAAGCGACAAATGTCTAGAGGTTTGAGCTCGTGGTGACTCTGAAGATCAGGCCAACGCCAAACGCGACAGTATATAACATGAGGCAGACCCTTACGATGCGAGACCTGCAGTCTGCCATCCAAGGATCTCGGTATCGTAACGCATTCACTTGGTTCACCAGGGTTACTTAAAGCTTTTTCCAGAGATTCAAGAGCACCTTTCTTTTTTTTCAGTTTTTTCACAAGAGAATCCACAGCTTTCTCGGCCCATTTCTCCTCTTCATCACCTTGCTTCCAACCAAGCAACCTTTTAACCGCAGGAGAAGTGAAAGAAAAAAGGCTATTGAGACTTGATATCGAAGTTGACATCGAAAGAGCCGAAGCGACAAGTTCGACAGCCGAAGAAATCCAAAAAAGAGGGCAGTCTCGAACAAATATAAACAAACGAGTGTCGCAAGTTTATTTTCTAGCTTATGTTCAGCCGAAGAGATCGTCTTTAAATAAGCTTTTGTAACGACTTTTTTAAACAATGAACATTCGCGCAGCTCGATGAGACACGATTTTGCAAATGCTTACAAGTATTCCGGTAGGCGTTCGCTCTAAGCAAACATAATCACCAACTCTAACAATTTTCAGGTTAAAATTATAATCTGTTTGCTTAAAAGTAATGTTTAGGAATAAAAATACCCACAATTTTCATGCAGAGGTCTAATTTAAAGTTTTTATGAGCAAGCTTTGTTTAACGCTTGAGGTAGAGATCTTTACTTCATAATGTAGCTTATTTAGTCCACCCATAAGCTCTTTGATAAATTTTTTTGCAATTAGCCGATTGACAAACTCGAATAGTTACCTCTTCCTTTTGATATGTTAATTTTACAATGCGTGCGGCTGTGATGACCCAATCCAATTGTTCCTATACTATTTCAGCTTGGAAATGATTGGTTTATTCATATCCTGTCAGGAAAGGGTGCTGCGCGTAGAGCGCAAGGGCCGTCTATGCTATTAAGCCGGGGGACGCTGCATGCTACGATGTTCCCCGTCTATATACGTGTCTTGGCTCCGACTCATGTGCCATCATGGTTGGGATACATTACAATCTTCATTTTGTCAGTCGCATTTGGAATGATGCTCTTACCAACCAAGAAATTTGAGATCGGAGATGGTAAGTTAAGGGACATAGGTCGCCTTAGCATTTTTTTGTAATGTGAGGTGACATGTTTGCCTAAAATTCGCACTTTGGCATCGGCATGCGCTAGTTTTCCTATCAATTTTACACTCGATTGCCTTCCTGCCATCGATGAGCCCTTTACGCTCATAGCGTGAGGACAGTGCGGTGTGCCATGTTTGTTTGTTCTTATTAGAACAAAATGTTAAAATCACTACCTAATCTTCTATACTCTTCATCATTGCAGGTTGGATTTTTCAGTGGCTTGTGTCTGTTGCACTCGCATTTACCCTGCTCGCTATTCACCTGTGCATCGGTTCGCCAAGAATCTGGCCTCTTACAATATTGAGTGGCTTTCTATGGTCAACAGGTGAGGTTAATTGCCTTTATGGCGATTGCTTCAGCGTACTTCATTAGACTGCTAATGGGTTGACCGACTTAACCAATTTTCCTTGTCTACACTTTCGCCGTCATTCGAAGAATTCAATTATTCAAACTCTGCTGCTCCCAAAATGTTTAGTTTCAACTAAAAAAGTCTCCCCCTTGTAAATGTTGACTGCAACCATCTCAGTTATAGATTCAAAACACTTAATTCCCTTTAGACTACTGGTACCTCTTACTTCTTGCTTTTTATTCATTTACTCATGATAATGTGATTATCTTTTGAAGTCGAATTACAAATTTATCAGTGCTTCGTAGCGTTTTGCTATTTATGCTTTATTGCGGCAAGTTATTTAAGCCTATACAAGCCTAAACTGCAAGATTCGATTCCGATAGATTCTTAAATTCACTTAACGCTAAGCATACGGCTATGCGCAAACCGGACTACACTGCTTCTCCATCATCTTTTCTAAAGCCGAACCAGTCACTAAGGACAGAGTTTCGTCAATCCCTAGAAATCTCTCATAGTCTTCAAAGCGTGTACGATTGCTGTCCCATACAAACGCAGTATAGTCGGTCTCAACTTCTGACGAGTTGTCAGTGAATTTGGATGCAGAATTCGTGCCATTACTTTCTTCCATTTGCTATTAGTGATGTGCTAATTTTAAGCTTTATTCCTTTTATTTTGTTTTGAAGAGTCTTTGTATCTGTCTAGAAGATAGATGAAAGTCGTAGTCCTTTGGGTAATTTTTGTCTACTCGTTCTTTGTCTGCGTTATTGATAGTTATCACTGTTTTACTGGTTTTTTATACCTTTCAGGTAACATCACCATGGTCCCAATTATCAAAAGGTTGGGAATAGGTATTGGAATGCTGATCTGGAGTATGGTTAGCTTATTGATAGGATGGGCCAGTAGTCGGTATGTCAGATAGTGGTGCTAGAAGGCCTTGGATGGACTTCAATTTTTTTTTAAATTCTAGGCATGCGTTCTTGTAGGTTCGGTTGGTTTGGCCTTCAGCCTGAGGTGCCTGGCAATGAAGCTTTGAATATCGCTGGTGTTGTCCTGGCTGCAATGAGGTCGTTTTAATCAGTCGTTTTTCACTCCATTAACCACATTTTAGTGTTATTTTCTATGTGTTTATTAAGCCGACGCCTGTTGCACAGGCAGTCGAGGTTCGGGAGGGTCACTACAGTGAGATGGCGCACGGCACCGGGCATAGCGTCGACGATTCGGCTGAAGATAGCGATCCCCTTTTGAATCAAGAGGAGGTGCCTACCATTCGCCTCTTTTGGCGATCTCAAATCACACAAAGAATTATGTCAGTTACCAAGTACTTCGTTTTGAGATCATTACTTTGGTGGCTTTTTACTTAGATCTGTAAATTTGTCATTGTTTAACTCTGATGCTTGAAATCTCAATCTATCACATTCGTCTCTTCCGCTTTGTTTTTTGCATACTGTGGTAAGCCTTTAAATCTTCCATAATTTTCTATTCGAAAATGGGATTGTTTTCTATCCGAGAACAAACTGCGGGACTAAATACACATTCATTATCGCTTTTAGAGGTGTTCTTTTGTCGATCTTCTCAGGCATGCTCTATGGAACCGTGTTTGTGCCTATTATCTTTGTTCAAGAAAATTACCGCGACGCCAGTCATCGAGGTAATGCTTTTGTTAAGTTAGTCACTGAATGCACTAATGTATCTTCTCACCTAAACTCTAAGCTTTGTGGTGTCTGAGCGCCATTGTTCTCGTTGATGCTGCATTCCTAAATCCAATCTCATTTCTTACTCTCTACAATTAAAAATTCCTATTCTCTAAGCAAACGATTTTTTGGTTATTATAATTCTACTTCCGTTTTAGTTCACTCTGACAAAAATTGGACTTATGGATTATGTCTCAATGTCATCTTGAGTTGTCGGTTCTTGTTTCTCCCCTTAATCATCTTAAGAAGATAGATGTGGAATGAAAATTACAGCCTCGCCAATGAGCAAAGTTTGAGGTGTCTACACTCTTACTATATTTCTTCCACTAAATTTGTTAAGTATGTAACACTGCAGAAATAAAAAAAGGGTTAAATAATTTAGCAAGGAGTCCTCTGACATAATCAAGAGCTTCTGAGGTGGAATCCGAGTCGACCCCAAATTAATGATGGCTGTGTCATGCTTCATTTGCAAAATATAAGTTACCTGTTCTTGGTATGCCTAAAGAACCGCCCAATTTGCTTGTCCACAAACTTACTCAACTTTAGGATTTTTTTTAGAAGTGAAAAAAGAAGTCTAAACATTCTAGGAACACGATAAACAACCTCTTTTGTGTTTAATCCCCACTGCCAGCAATCACTGTAGGTAACCCAAAGCGATTTGAATCACTCCAATCCGCAGTTCATTGTAAAAGCACCTAAGTCGGCGTAGTATGAACATGCTTAACGAATGAAATGTATTTTGGTTGCCGTTCCCACAGGCATCGACTACGTCGCGGCATTGGGCTTGGGCGCTTTTCTAGGCTCTACCGCTTATATTTCTTTATATGCGCTGGCTACTTGGTGGCAGAGGCGTGGGAGTAGCAGCACCGAGGGAGAGGCGCCTTTTTTCCTGCTCTTGATTCCCGGGTGGATGACTGGCATGCTGTGTGCCACGGGACAGGTCTGCTGGCTGATTGCCAACGAGGCTCTTCAAGCTTCTGTCACCTTCCCCATCGCAGCGACTCTCCCAGGCGCTCTCTCTACCCTCCTTGGTACTATCGTCTTCCATGAGGTTCAGGTACGACCACTTCATCTTGTCCAACTATCTCGACCTCACAAAACTTCTACCTCTGGATCCGCTGTTAGTGGCTGATTAAATGTCTGTCATTTACTGCGGCTTCACTCAAATTCTTATTTTTCAGGGTACACAAAATTATATCAAATTGGCGGTGGCACTCAGCCTCACTCTGGCTGGAAGCATCTTAACCGGTCTCTCTAAGTGAAGCAGATTTTGAGTTCTTTCGTGCCTGAATGTTTTTTAATTTGACCATTTTTCTTATTTGGAACAAACCATCCCATAAACATTTCCAAAATCTTGCTCTTTTTAATTATGGTGCGTGTAATTGGATTTTCATCCATCCTCCCATCCTGTTAATCAGTTTCTGCAATCCAATCTTTCGTGGTACTTGAGGGGTTTCATGCTATTTATTAACGTCTGCAGGCTCATCTCCGAATCACTAGGATCGAGCAATATTCATAAAAGAGCATGTTTAAATGGTTGTGATTGTTTTGAGAGTTGATTCACTTCTAAGCTTCTGCTTGTTAGAGGCCGTTCGACTTAACATGCATTTCGCGTTACAAAGAGGCTCGAAAGCAAAGCTGCTCCGTGCATGGCCTTTCTGTAATCGATTGGTCCTCTGCGTTTCTCGGTCGACATAGTGAACTGTGCCTGTATTCACTGTCAGAACATGTCGG